TTAAATGTAGTCTACCCCTGGCACTAGACTCCAAGCCCCTGAAGGCAGGGACCATGACAATTTATTTATTGCTGTAGCCCTGGCACCTAGCACCAAGATTGCAGTATCCACAGCAAATAGTTGTTGAATTCAAAGGAATAAATGAAGTAGACCTCATTACCTCCAATTTAGAAGGACAAAACAAGGCTCAGCAGGTTTAAATAAATTATGCCTATTTTAAAACGATTCAGTGTCAGAGTGAAGGTTAAAACTCGGGTCATTCTCCACTAAACCAGAAGGACACTTGTGAGAGAAGGCGATATGCAGGTTTTATTAAGTTTAGGAGCCTGGTCTGAGGGACTGGACTGTATGTACCATAATTATGGCCCTCACTAGCCTTTTATAAGTATCCCTTAACGCCAAGAGTTTGAGCTGCTGAGCCTCAAGCCCTGAACAAGGGCGGCAGTCACTGCCAATCACTACTGAGCACTTACTATGTACTGAGTCGTGAGGAAAAGAAGATGTGGTCCCTGCCCCTGAGAGAACATAGGGTGGCAATCAGGAGAGATACAGATTCATCAGGTGTTGGCTGAGGGCTTCCTGGGGCCTGGTAACTAACTGTGCTAGATGCTGGGATCATAGCAGGACTACCTAGACAAGGCTCCCTCTCTCTTGGAAGCCAAAGTCTGGTAGGAAAGGCTAAAGGTGAACAAATGATCACAATAAGTATCTAACTGCAACTGGGGAAAGTGCCAAGAAGTACGAGTGACACGACACCACGTGGCAGTACTCAGGGAGGGGAGTTCAAGAAATCTTCCTCGGGTGAAGTCACATTTAAGCCAAGGCTTGAAATATCAACAGAGTTGGCCAGAGGAGGAGGGAGGCGAAGAGCACACCAAGAAGAGGAAGGAAAGCATGTGCAAAGGCCCTGAGGCAGGAAAGGAGAGTGTGACTAGAGAGCTGTTCGAGATGAGTCAGGACAGGTGGGCAGCCGCAGCCCATGCCAGGCCATGTAGGCTGCTGAGAACCTTGCTTCTGACCCTGAGGGCAGTGGGAAACCCTGCAGTGTTTACAAGGCCAAGTGAGGGGCCAGCCCTAAGGGGATCAGGAGGCACTTCCTTCCACAGAGGGCCTCTGTCAGCCAGAAAACTGCGCAGGGTCCCCCTTCTCTCCCTCTTCCAATGCGTTCTTCCTGTCCCCCAGAGAGCACGGTCCTGTCTTAGAGAGAGTCAGGCTGCGATGGCCCTAGCACTTGGCTTTTCCAGTCCTTCCCAGAGAGCCGTCACTCCCAGCCTCCCCTGGGTGTCTGTGCCTCTTGACACTTGCTTGTAAGTTTCCTAATATAGCCAGATTGTTTCCTCCTCAACTGGTGACCAAGAGCTGCTCTTCTGTTGCAATCTTAGTTTTTCCTGGGCTTAAAGGGACCATGTCAGCCCATCTCGTGCCAAATTTAAGCTAAAGGTAGTAGGGTTGACTTAATTTCACAAACTTGTCCAACCCAGAGATTAGATGTCTTCTCTCTTTCCCCAGTTTACCACCTTCTCTGCTCTATTCTTGTTCATTTTTCCTTCTCCCCACTCCCCCAACCCTTTCTTCAGAGACAACTCAAAGGCACACAGCTAGACATGGGTGTGAGTTTTGGTACTGGTGGGTTAATTAGCTGTGTCATCTTGGGGGAGTCTTATAGGAATCATTAAATACCTCTGCAGTCATTTTCACAGAGCTCTTCTCTGATGGATAGAGCAGAAAGGAGAGAATAAACAGTTATAGAATGCATGTTGTTCATTATTCATTCACTCATTCAACAAATATTCACCGAGTACCCATTTGGTACTGTCCCAGACACTGAGGACAAAAAAGAATGAGTCCATGTCTCTATGGAACTTACAGCGCAGTATGGCTGGTCACTGAAGGGGCGGGAGCCCTGATGTCCCTCTTACCTCGGGCTGCTCCTGCCCACTTACAGAGGGGCTGCAAGTACTAGGGTCCCTCTCCAACAAATTAAAGCCGAATTTCTGGTGGTGAGGCCCAGGGGGGTCTGTATTTTATTTTCAGAACTTCTAAAGTGGGAGTCAGGATTCAGAACCATGGGCTCAGAGCATGAGCTCTGGGTGTCAGAAGACTTGGGTTTGGATCTACCTTCTTAGCTCTCAGACTACCAACCTCCTCTCCTATCAACCAGCATCATCCTGGGACCCACCTCACAGGACCCTGAGGGGTTTAAGTGAGCTCTTGACACTGTGCGTGGTCCTGATGGGGTTCTTCATGGCGAAAGGCGGGGGCGGGGAGGAGAGGGGGCTTGAGCTGGAGCCGCCTGTGCTGGGGGTGACCGGGCAGCGTGGAGTCATGTGGACACGCTGTCCTTCCCCTCCAGAGTCACAGTGCCCCAATTTCTAGAAGCCCTGCAAGTCAACGTTAGGCCAAACCTCAGTGAGCTTCATGGCCAACCATGTCATTGGCCAATAGGGCAATGGAGGCCTTAAGAAGAGAAGAGAGTTGCTCAATGTCACACAGTGAGATGGAGCTTCTGTACAGGTTCAGACAATCGGTCAGCAAAGATTTGTGGAGCACCTTTCTGTGCCAGGCACTGTTCCAGGTGCTGGGGACACATCGGAGAACAAAACAGGAGAGAGCCCTGCCCTCGTGGAGCTTCCATTCTAGCAGGAAGAGAAAGACAATAAATATGGCATGTTAAAAGGTAATACATGCAATAGAAAAAAAAGTAAAAAGAGATTGGGGATGTCTGGGTGCTTGTGGGGGTGCAGGCAGATTGCCATCAGGATAGGGCTCATTGAGCAAAAGACTTGACAGTTATCTGGAAGAAAAGAGACCCAGACACAGGGAACAACCTATGCAAAGGCCCCACTGGGAGCATGCCTGTTCAGCTGACTGGCTGTTCAGTTATCCAGCCACCCGGGGCAGAAGAATCTAATGAGGAGAAGGCCATTTGGGATTATTTGGTTAACCAGGGGAAAGTATAAGCATGTGCTTAAAACAAAAGCTCTGGATTCCCTGCCCCCAATTCAGTGAATCTTGTGTCAGGTACTGTTCTATATGCTGGAGGCATGAAGATGAAGGCAGAGAACTGGCTCTCAGTGGTGCTGTTGGGGAGAGACGGTGGACAGTGTGTGTGGGTCGGGGGAGATGATGAGTTGGTGGTGGCTGTGTCACATCTGGGGGCCTTCCATCTCCAGGCTGACATGTGGAGCTCTAGAGGGGATATAGAAGATATATAGAGAGTATATAGAAGATATATTTGGGGCAGAGGGAGTCAGCAGGACATAGATGACAGTTATAAAAACCTGATGGTTCAATCACCCAGGGAAGATGGGGAGAAGGTTTTGAGATCCCTGTGGAGCACAGCACTTAAGGGTGGTGGAGGAGAAAGAAGATATTTTGTCTGCTTTGTATTGACCTGTTCATACAATTCAGGTGACCTCACACACCAGCACAGCTTTGTAGAATCACGTTATTACACACATATCTTTTCTTTCTGAGTTTTTCAGCGATCTTAGCTCATTTAAACCTCAACCCTATGGATTAAGGGGCAATTATCTCTGTTTGACGGATGAGGAAGTTGAGGCACAGAGAGGTTAGGTCACTTGCCAAAGGTTGCACTGCTAGTAATGGCGGGGGCCGCATTTGGACCCAGCAGCCTGGCTTCTGTTGTCTGTGCTCCTAACTACTACTCTGTGCTCCCTCTTTGAACATGGTGGCCCACTCACAGTCGTATTCCCAGGAACACACGTGCTCACTCATGGACACGCAAGGTCTCCTTGACACACCACTATCCTGCACCCACATGGTCTTACATGGTCTCAGTTTCACTAATGCCCACAACCTCACATACTCATTTTTCCTGGAGTATCTCCTCATATTGTGCTTTGTACTCAGATGGCTTGAACACCCAGAACCTCTCACACACCCATAATGGCACCTCCATAGAACCTTGGGTACTCACCCCACTGTAGATACACTGCATTGCACACTTATGATCTAATATAGTTACATGGCCTTGCACAAATACACGCTCTCCCATGCTCTCCAACAGTCACATGCTTTCCGACATTCACATGACTGCCAACTCACTGTTGTATTCATTCGTGAACTCCGATATTCACATCACCTTACACACTACCATGACCATGCACACACATTTAACCTCACACACTGACAGAGCCTTGCATGCTGCACAACTTTGCACTCTGACCCTCTAACAGTCTTGCACCCTCACTCAACTTTGCCTATCCTTGCACTCAAGACCTCGAATGCCCTCATAAGTTTATGTTACATCATTATGACAGATGCACGTGATCTTGGTCACCTTCTGTGCACGCACTGCCTTGCACATTCATGATTGTTCATGTTCCCGCTACCTTGCACACCCCCACAAGTGTAAATATTCACATTACTGTATAAACCCAATGTCTTGCCTACTCACTCTTGCACCATCATTCTCTTGTGTGTAATTTGAAATCTGTGCACACATTTAAATTCACACACACAGTCTCACCTGCTCATACAACTTCACACTTAAAATTGACTGCTAACCTCAACCTTGCTCTATTTTGCACACTAAAAACTTTGGCGTGTTCCCACCAACAGAAATATCCGCACCATGCAAACCCCTTCTGGCTTGCCCATGCGTGTTCTCGCACATTTGTTTAAGCTCACTTCGGGGCCTCACCTGCTCACACAACTTTGCACACTGACGCTCTTATTCTCCCAACCTCACTCTATCTCGCACACTTGTGACCTTGTCATGTTCACCAATGAAACCATTCATACCATTGCACAAACTCCTTGTGGCTTGTCCGCTCATGTTCTTGCACACGCGTGTAACCTCACACCCTCAGAGCCTGGCCTGTTTTCATGACTTCGAACGCCTTGCCCCTCCCATGGCCTTGCCTCTCCGATGGCCTTGCCCCTCCCGCCCTGGCACACGCAGGCCACTGTGCACTCGCAGGGGCCTCATCCTGCCGCTCCACTGACCTGCCCTCTCGCCCTCTCCTCGCCCGCAGGGACTTACCAAGGCCAGTTCACCAACGGCATGCGCCACGGCTACGGGGTGCGCCAGAGCGTGCCTTACGGGATGGCCGTGGTGGTGCGCTCGCCGCTGCGCACGTCGCTGTCGTCCCTGCGCAGCGAGCACAG